TGTCTTTCCCTAGGATTTGTCCTATAGTTTAGTATTTGTGGTTAACAGTGATACCAGGGCTGTGACAGCACATTAAAAGTCATGAGAGAAGAGCGGAAGGACAAGAATTCAAAGCATTTGTTCATATACTGTGGCAACCTCTTTTGCATAGTTGTGTGGGATCCTGTTTGTAATGCTATCATAAATATTCTGTAGAGTTGTTGTTTTTGTTTTTCTGTTTTTTTTTTCCTCCCCCAACTGGAGCTAAGACACTTTTTTATTGGATTCAGTCTTGTCTCTTGTCTAGAAAGAATTTTATCTTGTTGACGCATGAGCTGTTTAAAAATTATTCTATTAAATGTTGGTTAATAGTTGTGCAGTTTTTCTTTTCAGAAGAAAAGGCAATTCAAATGTTGCCTTTTATTTTCTGTCACCTTCCAACCCCTCAGCACTTCTAGTCAGATACAGATTCATCAGTGTATGCAACGTCCTTTGTAATTTAAAATAAAAAAAGATGAAAAGAAAAGGTTTTGAATTGTTTGCCTCATGTTTTCACCTTTCCTTTCTCTACCACTCACCAAGGCAACCATCCATGTCTCTTCAAAGTGGATGCAAAGAAGCTCCCAACTAAAGACAGCAACAAACTACTGATCATACTGCCCCTCGCTTGATAGTGTACAAAGAACTTGCTTTTTTCGGAGGGGGGCTCTTTAGGCTGATTTTTAAATACGCTAGTGAGATTTAACTATTATGGTGAGTTGTTTGTTGGTATAACATTTTATTCTTCATAGTTTAGAGCACACGAGCTTTGGTAGTGCAGTGCCTAAGGCATTTGACTGCTAACCAGAAGGCTGGCAGTTCAAACCCACCAGCCACTCCTCAGAAGGAAGGTTGGGCAGTCTACTTCTGTAGTGATAACTGCCTTGGAAACCCAAGGAGGGGTTGCTGTGAATCAAGTCCGACTCAATGGCACATAATAACAATAACAACAGTTTGGAGCACAGTTTATACTTATTGCTCCTCTGTAGTTCTTTTATCAAGTGATTTCTCTTTGAGAGAAATAAAGTATTTTGGGTCTCTCCTGATTATTTGTATTTGTTTGTGTGCTTAATAATTCTGAGTACATTTCCTGGCACATACATAGAGCTTTTAGTCAGGGGGCCCGAGTAAACACCACTGGAGGTAGATGTATTCTTTCAGCCAGCACACGTTTGTTTAGCACTTACTATGCCAGGAGCTCTGGTGGTGTAGTGGTTAAGGCATCTGGCTGCTAACCAGAAAATCGGTAGTTTGAATTCACCAGCTGCTCTGTGAAAGAAAGATGAGGCAGTCTGATTCCGGAAAGATTTATAGCCTTGCCAACCCAATGTGGGGTCACTGTGGATCAGAATCAACTCGCTGGCAGTGTGATGCCAGGACTTGGGCTAGGTACTAGGATATAGAGAGAGATCCCAGGATGCCTCCAGGAACTCAGAATATGCTGAGAGAGATGACATACGAACAGAATTAAAGAACAGTATGAGGGCTGTTGCAGATTTGCAAAGGTTAGGTACGTTATCACTGAGGTGTTTGTAAAGACACAGATAGCACATCCAGTGGGATACATCAGAGGTATAGGCTGTGGATGTCCTTGGACTCTTGCAGAAGCCCTTTTTGCTTCATTTGAATGACATTAGTATATCCGGAAGAAGCATGGACAAGGCCTCCCATAGACTGGTTCTGCTTCAGGACTTGGCCTTTCAGGACTGCCCCTCATAGCCCCTGTCATGATCCTGGAAGTTCAAGGTTCTGGGTGGGCAGGGTCAGTATTGTCCTTAGGAAACTAAACCTCTGTGTAGCACCTAGTTAGATGGGTCACTCAGTTGTTCTTTACTGCCATTTGTTTTGGAACCAGGTAAGTTCTTTAGCCACAGTAGAGGATGTGAAAGAAGAAAAAACTGGAGAGAAATGCTCTAGTGTCCTGGCTAGCAGGTTAGAAATAGCAAGGAAGTGTTGGAAAGTCCTGGGGGTGGGTCATTGGTTTTCCCATCAGGGACCTCAGTCTAGACCTGGATGAGGTGATCTGCCACAGAGCCAGCTAATACAACATAGAGCCCTAGTTCAAACTCCAGTCCATGCTGCACTACACAGATAATTCATGCTTATGTCTAAGGCAGCAGGCCAAGTCATAGGCAAGATTTTGAAGGATGTTTGTGGAGAAAGGCAATAATGGATTTATGATCTGAAAACCAGAAAGAACTAAAGCCAGAATGTGGTAAGCTAGTCTCAGGATCAGTGGATAAAGGCAACTGGAGAAGCAAAACAGCGTTGTGAGTAGTCAGTGTTTGATACCCAGTGGGTCATCACATTGCATACCTCCCTCACGGGTGGCTTCTAGCAGAAGGGTTTAGGATTGGGTCTCTTTTAGAAGGGAGTATGTTGAAAGTTGGGGAGAAGGGGATTTGTGTTTTCTTTAGTTGCTGTGTACGTAGAGAGATGCGGTTTGGGAACTTGCTTGTATAGGAATTTCTAGCAAGAAGCATGATGTGAAAGGGGCCCAAGGTCATGTGCGCAGATCCTGTGTGCAGGCTTTGGGCTTTTCTGTGGTCCAAAATAGGCAGCTTCAGTTAATCCAAGATGCTCAAGTAGCATAAAGTATCTCAACCTCCATTTCTTAAAAAGGTTTTAATTTTAAAACATCCCCAGGAATAAACAGAAAATATGCAAGGTCTAGATAAAAGAAAACTTTAAAATACCATGAAGGATACAGAAGACTTGAACAAATGGAAAGATACACCAACTTGAACAGCAGCAACCAACATCATAAAGCTGTGAGTCATCCTCAGTTATTGAAAAATTTAATGCCACCCCAATAAAACATACCAGTAGGGTTTCAAAAGCAAGAGAAAGCTAAAATTCATGTGTGCGTGTGTGTGTGTGTGTGTGTATGTGTGTGTGTGAAGCTGGAAGATGCTGTTTTTATTTATTTATACCCAACTTGAAAGTTGGGTAACCTTGGGGCAGGTCTCTACTTTGTAGTCTCCTGCTCTGTAAAACTGCGTCTGTTCTTTTCCCAGTCTGCTGTAACAAAACACCACACACAAATCAGGTGGCTTATAAGAAAAATTGTCTCTAAGTTCTGGAGACCAGGAATCTGAATTAAGATGTGAGCAGGGTCAAGATCTGTCAGAAGGCTCTCAAAAACAACAACAACAAAAACCTCACTGGCATCGAGTTGTTTTTTTCCTTTTCTTTCTCTCTTGACTTTTGGTAGCTCCTGGAGTTCCTTGGTTTGTAAGGGGCAGCATAACTGTGGCCACATGTCCCTCTCTCCTCCTGTTTTCTATGTGTATTTTCTCATGTTTTATAAAGACACCAGTCACATTGGATTAGAATCCACCATAATTCAGTATGACTTGTTTTAACTGGGAGCTCTGGTGGTGTAGTGCCTAAGGCATGTGACTGCTAATCAGAAGGCTGGCAGTTCAAACCCACCAGCCACTCCTTGGAAGCAAGATTGGGCAATCTACTTCCCTAGAGATACTGCCTCTGAAACCCAAGGAGGGGTCACTATGAGTCGGGATCAACTCGATGGCAGTGAGTTTTGTGTGTGTGTGTGTGTGTGTGTGTTCATGTTAACTTGTAACATCTTCAAAGACCTTATTTACGAACAAGGCCACATTCCTAAATGAGGACTAGAACATCTTTTTTGGGGGACACAATTCAATCCGTAACACTAGGGTATTATCTATCAGAGGTGGTTATAGGGATTAAGAGAAAAACAGGCACTCAAGTCCTCACTATCTCACACTTGTTGAAGTGAGCTGAACAAAAGTGGACAGGATGGGGAGGGGGGCGGGTGCAGAAGGAACAACACCACTCCAAGGTAGATAGATCCGGAAAGAGCTTGAGAAATCCAGGAAGGTGGCCGATGGCTTTGAGGACCAGCCAAGAAATTTGAACTGTTTAATAATAAACTGTTCAGTAATAATAAACTGTTCAATAATAAAACAGTTCAAAACTGTTCAATAATAAAAGAGTCACCATTTGTTGAAAGCCTGCTTGTAAGTTATTTTACTTAATTCGTCAAAACTACTCCAGCAAGGTAGAGTTAGTAAATCCAATTTTACACAAAGGGGAACAGCCAGCAGCCATGTTGTTGTTGTTATGTGCCATCCAGTCAGACCCAATTCATAGTGACCTCTCCTTGAGTTTCCGAGGCGGTATATCACTACCGAAGTAGATTGCCTAACCTTCCTTCTGAGGAGTGTCTGGTGGGTTTGAACTGCCAGCCTTCTGGTTAGCAGTCAAGTGTCTTGGGCACTAGGCTACCAGACCTCCATGAAAAGGGTGTAAGCAGGGAGGTGACTTGATCAGTTCTGGGGCAGTGTGGTGAAGGGACAGAGGTGCTTAAGCAATTTGCCTTGAATTCTACACATAAAAAAAAAGAAAAAAAAAAACAAAAAACCATTTTCCTTTTACTCCACAATTTATACTCACAAAGTACTAGAAAATAAAGTTTAAACAAATGTAAAAAAAAACTGTTAATTCTACTGTCCACAAATATCCCAATTAATAGTTTTCTTCCAGTCTTTTTGGTGGCATAGTGCCTAAGGCATTTGACTGCTAACCAGGAGGCTGGCAGTTCAAACCCATCAGACACTCCTTGGAAGGAAGATTGGGCAATCTACTTCCGTAGTGATACCGCCTCGGAAACCCAAGGAGGGGTCGCTATGAGTCAGTGGGGTCCGACTGGACCGCCGTGAGTTTGTTTTTTTTTTCTTTTGGTTTTTCTATTAAAACGTCATTAGCATGAGTGACAGGCGGAAGATGAGTAAAGGCCACTGTTAAGCGTTTTTTAAATTCTCTCTTCTCTGCCTAGTTTTATTAGAGTTGAACCAAGAGACGAGGTTTATTTTCCCCCACGTGTCGGAAGAAGTCGTACTTATTAAGAAACTTTGTGCAAACTGCTGTCAGGAGCCGGTGTTCGAACATTCCTTACCTACCTCCCCCTCGCTAGGCTCCGGCCGGTCTAAAGGTGGCGCTGCAGAAAGACCACGCAGGGAGGAAAAGAAAGCGGTGCGAAAGCGCTTATGAACTTTGGGCACCGCCGCTGCCCGTAGTAGACATTGTCAACATGGCGGGTTCCCAAGATGTCCACGTCCGGATCTGTAACCAAGAAATTGTCAAATTCGATCTGGAGGTGAAGGCGCTTATCCAGGTACTAATTCCCAGACCCCTGCCTGGCTTCAGCCGTCCTAATCCAAGCTCCGGTGGCCTCCTGGGCTTTCTCACTCCGAACTGTCCCCACTTGGTCGGTTCTTCGAGGCCATTGGCCGCGCTCCATGGCGGAGTACCCCTATATCGCCCTATTTGGTCCAGTCCCGTGACTGTTGGCTTGATCTTCCGTGTGGATGCTGTTGCTTCGCTCTTTCCCGGGACACTCCCACATCTCTCGCTCCTGACTCAGCCTCTCCTTTGTGGCCTTTGCTTGGTCCTTCTCACGCCTCCCTTGGCCGTTGCTCCGGCCTTGACCCGTCGCAACACCCCTGTCACCCACTTACTCCCCTCCCAGTGGCTGTTTGCCCCAGCTTTTGATATCCCCTTCCCCACCTTCCACCTGGTAGGGTCCTGGAGGCCGTTAGCTCCGCCCTCTTACCGGCCAGTCCGGCTGGGGCAGATAGCCAGTGGCACTACCTGGCACCGAGGCACTGGGTGAAATAAATGTAGCTTGGACCTTAAATGAGAAAATCGAGTAAAGCGATCCGAAGGCAGTAGTGGTAGGACTGGGACAGGAGAAGTCAACCTAGGGAATGGAGCTTACACAGTCCCAGTGTTTAGCATATGGTGGAATTGAGGTGCTTTACCATAACCCATAATGAGGGCTCTTAAACTGCTATTTAGAGGCAATAATAATAATAATAATAACAAAAAACTCATTGCCGTTGAGTCGATTCCGACTCATAGTGACCCCTCCTTGGGTTTCTGAGGCAGTATCACTATGGAAGTAGATTGCCCCATCTTCCTTCCAAGGAGTGGCAGGT